GTAGTCGAGCAGTCTCGACTAGAGCTTTCTTACTTGTTTTTTTTTTTTTTTTTTTATAAAGAAATGAAATGAGATTATTAATTTGAATTAAATTTGAATGCTTATTTCTTAATGATCCCCACAAACTATGACACATTTGCATTTAGTTAATCTGTTTAAGATTCAATATTAAAAACTTCAATCAAATTGAGAAATACATAAAACTACATCGATGTTGTAACTTAGCCAACTCGCCTAATATCCCCGGATACGTTGCTGCGAAAACGCCGTGGAAACTCGTACGAGATGGCAACGCTGTTGGCCAGCATGCTCATTGGTGCTGGCCATCCGGCTATGGTCGTCTCTGGGGTAGCACGTCAAGAAACTGTTCACAACGATCAACGCAACGTGCCGTACCCATACCCCATCGTCACTGAAGACGGTGTTGAGCAGAAGGAGGTCAAGGAAGAGAAGCCCGCCAAGTACAAACTGCGCGCTTTGCCGGATTTGGAGAGTCATCTGGAGGAGGAAATGGCTGAGATACATAGACGCAGGGCCGAAGAGCACAGTCGATTAGAGAATGAGCTCTTGCGAAAGCAAATGGCGGTAATATTTGGTATTAGGTTTCTTATATTCAGATTCTATATATTATGTTGGATTTATTGTAGGAACTTGAACTTCTGGCAGTCGATCGATATCACTATCGTCGATCTCACGCCTGGGTCGCAATTATTAATAACGCGCCCTGGAGTATAAAGCCGAGAATCACTTATACGGACGTGAATGGAGATGTTGTGGAGGCCCCACCCACTGCCACATTCATAGAGCCCTCCACAGGATTCATGTGTGAGTCGGGCTGTAAGCAATACATTCTGATCGACAGCGTCTGGAATCAATATAATTACTATGTGAACAAACAGACTTATCAGCGAGTCAGTGAGTTGCGCTGGGATCTTCGGGAAATCGCGGATTGGGGACACATGCTGCCAGGAGAACCACCAGAAATGCGAACATACAAAGTGTCTTCAGATGAAAACATCGCGGAAAGCGACACCGACATAAATGAGGAAAAACATTTAGACGCTATTTGCAGTTGGGTGAACCGGCTTCACATCGGCTACGCGGACTACGAGCACCGTTTCCCAAAGTCGGAGAAAAAAGTGCAATACTATGGGGCCATTCACGAACGGTTCTCGCCGTACTCACAGCGGGACGGCAAGGTGATGCAGCTAACACTCTTTAACGACAAAATGTGCACCGATCCAAAAGTCCGTTATGAATACTATAAGAACCGATTCGACCTAATGGAGCAGTTGGTGTATACGTATGAAAATGATCACTACGAGGAGCGCTTTGCCAAAGGCCGCACAGACAGTTTGAAATGTGAGCTCAGTGTTCATTCTAATATAAAAATGAAATCTTCTCAAATATGCTTTACATTTTTTTTATAGCTATTGAGTATTTCTCGGACTCATCATTGCCCCGAAAACTAAAGTTTATCTCCAGCTCTAGACTAGATACCTTGGAAACAATAGACTTGACTCCGGGATTGATAATACTAAATTATACGGGCCAAGGCGACAGGTGTTGCTACAGGGAGTATCTATATAAGCCCAACGGCGTAGTGCTTAAAGTAGGTACCATCAGACAACCCAAGTTCACTTTGCGATAGCCTTACGTTTACCTTTCCAGAAAGTGGTCGAAAGATTCCATCGAGCTGAGAAGGACGACATAGTAGCAAACGACATTGCAAGCAGAACGTTTTTGTTTCAGCAAAACAAAATTATTATCAAATTCCACTACACCTTCGGGGCTCTTACTGCTACCACAGTAGAGTTCACAAAGCCCCCGAAACCAGATTACGGGACGGAATTGGTATACGATGAGAAGTTAACCAAAATATACAGGGTATAATATTAACATATAATAGTGATTACCGAATGATTTCAATATTGTCAATATTCCCAGGCAAATCCATTGGATCCGATACGGACTAATCTGGAGCTGTACAAATTGCTACTGGAGCAACTACAGTCTGAGGATCGAATAAAGAAGACGTTCATTGCCGTTCAGGACGATATCAGCAATATTTTCGATCAGCGCAATAGGGAAAAGACAGACCCCAAACTGAAGTTTAGCTTGTTTGACCCATTACGCAATGGAGCTGCTCGTGCACTCCGAATGCAACAGGTATACTTCGCCCTTGAATTCTTCAGTGTTTACGTTTCTCATTATGTTCTATTTTCAGTTTAAAGAAGAACAAGAGAAGAAGCGCGAACTGGCCAGTAAGCCAGCGGACTTCTTGGCTCCGTATTTGGTGCCATTTAAAGACCAGGATGAGCTCACTCAGGAGCAGTCTGTGGCTGCATACAATGCCTGTCTGAACGATCTTAAGACTCTATTCGTCACTCTGCTCAACAATTTACAAAGGCAATACGAAGACGTAAGATTAATGCAAATTACCCAAAGAAATAGATCATATATCGTTTTTTACATCTGCAGCTAACCAGCGAGGCTAAATCTCTGAACCGTTTCTTAAATAAGTTCGAGAATCAATTTGACAATTTCGACTATAATCGGCTGGTACAACAGGCTAAGGATCTAGAACTTAGAAAGCGAATGGTCCAGCAGCGCCTCACTCTAACCCACCAGGAGTCGCAGAAGAAGTATGAATGGGTGAAGGCCTCACTGCAAAAAGATCCTCGATTAAATTTGAAAATGGAGGAAGAAAAGGAATCCGACGAATAAAACTGAAATGAAATACTATAATCAAAAACCAGAAAAAAATATTTAAAAATTTTTAAGCGCATGTTTAGAAAAATAATATGAATAAATTGTTTGAAATTAATTAGTCAAAAATAAATACACTTGGAAAGGTTTGAAATTAGAGTACGAGTCGATTGAACCTTAAGTTAAAGCCAAGATACTACATCGATTTGAGTAAGCCTATCGAAAATGTTTCTTTCCATTTTAATTTAAAGATAAGATATAGAAAATAGAAAATATTAGATTTAAGTACGATCAACTGTGACTAGCACATATGATAAAATACCGATTTAATTAACAAGAAAAGAAAATATCTATGTTTTGAAACAATAATCACAACCTTCATTAGGCGATCCCTATGTTGCCTTACGTACAGAAAGACGGACGTAGATAAGAACAAACAGGCAGACAGACAGGGTCGATTCGATTGACTTGGCTATTGATTCGGATGAATATATTTATAAGGTCATCAATTCATTCTGCCTGTTAGATATGCTCTAAAACACATATCAACAATCCAATTTATAATGAATTCTTATATTTAAGAGGTTTACAATATATTGTATATAAATATATATTGGAAGGCATTCGAAGGACTGAAGTAAATCCCGTATTGCAATACTACAACACATGGTTCAATACAGAACTTTCGATGAGATTTTGAATTTGACAGTCTGTATCGACGACAGTGCTTAAAATGTACATATTGAGGAATGTATTTATTAGCTCATTGTTACAATTGAGGATAATAAACTATTAAGAGAATTGAAAACATTTTTCTTGATCATTTTTGTCAATGCTGAAGTTATTGATCAAAAAGAGGAACGAAGTTGAATAAAATTATACAAAAGCTTTACATGGAAAGCAAGTCAACGCCGCAAGAGGAGGTCATTTATATGTGTTCGCGAACGGACGCCGAATGCGAATGGTGCACGGCTGCGATTACTTAAGCATTCCGTTAGAGGGGGTTGAAGAAAGTATGTTTAAGTGGATTCTAAAATGCGAATGCCAATTTCATGGTCTTGCATCACAACAGCAACGCGGGCAGCGTCAGGCCATAGCCGGGAGTGGGCGAAATTCGTTTCAAAAGTGACCGTCTGAAAATTGGACAAAGTGGATGCCGCGGCCGTGTGTGGGTTCAAGGCATACAATAAGGCATACAAACATAGCCGGAGGCAGTAACAACAACATCATATACATCCACACTCACACACCCACACATACACACTCAAGCACGTCACATAAGCCCATGTGTGAGCGACCACCCGAGCCGGACTCCTGTCCGTTTTGGCGCTATACCCAAACCACCCACCGTCTGCCGCTCTCACACAATCACAAGCACACAAGCACGCGCACACACACTGCACATACACATACACATACACCGTCAGCTACGTCCTACGCAGACTTTCAAGCCAACTTACTTACATATATGATGGCAGTGTGTCCGTCCATCCCCCATCGGCGTCCTCTAAATTGCGTTTGTCCCTTGAAAGAATCGTCCTAAGATGAAAGTGCTGTCCCTTGTCCGCCAACCGTCCGTTAGCATCGCTGAAAATTTGCTCGTGGCATGAACACATGTGGCGTAATTTCGTCGCAGATTTTTGTTCGCTAACTGGACAAGGATATTCGTACACTGCAACAAATTTCATGGCACTGACTATAATATGAGAGGAGCATCTGATTTCCAGACCCTATAGAACTACAAGCATTGTTTGAGAAACTTTGTCCCAAACATAGATTTTTTCTGTTCACTGTGTGTTCATAATACTATTCATATTTTAATAATCACAATTATAAAAAAATGTTCTAATAATAAACGTTAGTACACATATTATATTTCGATCAGAGCTTACATTGCTCAGATTTACTTTAAGATCAAAAAATTTGATTGATTCTATAAGTTTCGTTTGGCCAAATAAATGCCTGTATGAAATGAATCATTATCAAATATGTATATTAATAAATATAACGTATTAGTAATATAAAAATAGTCCAAATAAATATGGCAATATGTAGCTAACATAGATGTTTAAATTTAAAAGGAATTGCTCTAGTTTCGCGCAGTGCAACTCGGAATCACTCACTCCACACGTCTCCCAGAGCGGCAGATATTCGTGCTTCCTTTGGCGAGCCGTGGGCCACGGTGAGGCCTTTGTCGTTTTTGCTACCACGGTCCTGGCAGTGTCCAGCTTGCCGTAAGTACAGTTGTGCAAATACACTTCTAGCGGACAGCATCGCGGCCCAAGAATTTGTATTTTATCAGCATCGTGCGCGTCGCGTAGTCAAGGACTTCCAATATTTACGCGAAATACACACACACACACACACATGTATATACATACATACAGCAGTGTAGATATGTACATACACACACATACATGTGTGTGCGATGTGTGGCTGTGCATGTGTTTGTTGAAGCAAATGGGATATGTGACGCTGGGGGAGGGGAGGGTTTCGCCGGCCTCTTTGGGTATGATGTGCATGTGTGCGTGTTTTTCTGCATGGGGGTGTGGGAGTGAGAGTGGGGTGAACGGCAAGGCTGAGGGTTATTGTACGATCCTTTCATTTCAGTCCTAAATGTCCTTCTTCCAATATTTCAAACGTGCTCCGTGACGCGTCCGTTTTGTAGGATGAGCGGCTCGAAGGCGGCCCTTTGTGGACACGGACTTTGTCACCAATGCCGCCGCCGTCGTCGTCGTCGTCGCCATCGTCGCCGTCGTCCGCTCTGCTTCTGCTGCTGCTTTTGCTGCTGCTGCTGTTTCTGTTCTTGTTATTGTTTGCTGCTGCTGTCGCAGCTGACGTGTTGTCCTCGCGTCACGACGCGCAGTTTAGCGGTGGACAGGCGAGAGCTCACGAGGGCTTATGGGCGCTGTGGCCTGTCGTGGGTAAGCGGGGCTGGCTGGAGCTGGGGACAGCTTTTATCACGGCGCATTTATTTTTCTATTCCACTTATAATATATGCCAGAAACAGGATACACACCCACATGGGCATATATTGGATATTTATTTTGTATTCGAATGCGCGGCTTCGAGCACCGAACGTGGCGGCGTTGTTTGGCCGCTGAGCCGCTGGACGGTGTTAGTCGAGGGTTATCCAGGGTGTATATTTTCATCTTTGTGTGTGTGTGTGTTTTTTTTTTTTTTTTTGTAAGTATTGGGCTTTCACTTCGTTTGGGCAAACGGACGGACACTGAAAAATGGCGAGAATTCGCTTGGGTGATTTGCGCGATGCAGACATACTTACACACCCACACACACACACACACACATAATCATACTTGGTCCCAAACTTACATATGTACATCTGACATATAGTGCGATGATAAAAACATGTCTTGTTTTCCTTCAATTTCTCGTTTTTTGCTCGTTTTCGTTTAGCTTTTATGCCAAATATACACGAGCATACGTTGATACAGTTAGTGTACTTATTTAATACTTGGCATATGTTATTTTCAAAATAAATCGATAGAAAATAGTTTTTGTAGACTTGAAGTACATTCAATTATCCTAAAATAGAGTCCCATAAGTAGTCTATAATATCTCTATAACTTGAATCAAATTTAAGTCAAAATCGAAGACTCCCAAAAAGTCATTTATTATTATCATATATGTAATTTTAGTACTTACCTAAATATGCCTAAAAATTTTGATTAGCGACTAGAAGACGAAAGTTTATTCATTCAGAATTATGTCTATAAATGGTCAGCCCACTAGGGTGTTTTACTGAAAAATATTTTAGGGGGCATCCTCACCTCGTTGCTCGTTAAAAAGCGGGAAACGAATGTATATTGATTTTACCTGATTTCCGTCCTCTCCATTTTTCTGTTCAATTGTCTTCATAAACTAATAAATGTATGCGACATATGTAAGGAAGCATATATTGCTACAACTAATTCTAGAATATTTACTATTACACACTGCTGTCGACATAGACAAATTGAAAATAAACTTGAGCTAGCGGCTATTTATTTACTTACAGAATTTCACCTTGTCAATGGGGTCAATATTAACGTAACTCTTAACTTTGACATTATCGCGCTGACTGGCCTGGCCCCGCCTTCTTGCTGAGTCGGCCCTCGACGCCTCTTTCGCGTTCGAAATCGCTGTTTATTGCCCTAATTGCCTCCATCTTGGCCACTTGTGATGCTGGTAACTGCTTATCTGTGCACAGTTGATATGTTGATGATGTGTTTACTGCAGCTTAAAGTTCCTTTTACGACTTCTTTTATTTATATTTTAGCACAGTGCCTGCGCCTCAGCCTCAGCCTTAGCTGGCCTGGGCCTGGGTCTGTCCTGGCGTCAATAAATTTTTATGAGCAATGATGTGGTTGCTCACGATGCTGGCGTCCAAATAAACTGATTCCAATGTTTTATGGGCAATATTGTGGCCATTCTTTGTATGTAATTCACGTTACAGTCTCACGCAAGCAAATTAGTTTTCAATTTGTCCAGCAGCTCACGGCTACTTTCCTTCGATGGTTAATTGAAAACCATCAAAGTATAGTGTCTCTTCTCTCTGCACTTAAGAAGCAGTAAATAGAAGATTTGAGATTAAGTCAGTGCTTAACTTTCACTTACGTAACTTGATTTACTCTATCTACGTTTTATTTACTTACTATGTTCGTAATCTTATCATTTTTATTATCTTATTACTGATAATAATAAGGCAGATGAACTTCTAAGAAATATCAAATAAAATTAAATAGTGTTCATTTTATTGAGTTGGATTGATTCCATATAACTTAATTGTAATTCCTTAAAACAAAAACCTCTTGCATTATCAGACTAGAAAATTGGATTCGTTCCGATACAGTGTCCCTTAGTGGACGCCCTACTCTAATAGTTAGTGTCGATTCCTTACTTTTAAGACGGTGTACACGAGTATACATTCCATATATCAAGTCTATAGTTGCAATAACGCGAAATGATTTGCGGTCAGACGGACAGAGGGGTAGACAGCGTGTCGGACACCGCACAAAACGGATATACTCA